AACATGCTATAGAATCATTAAAATAATCATCCCACATTTTATTACGTAAATTGGTTTTGAAGATCATAATAACTGAGAAGACTCTTTCAGCTGTAGCGGAGGCAACAAAACTAGGGCCAAATCAATTAGAAGGTAAACTAGGCGTGGATAGTAAAAAATAGGTAAAGAACGTATAGCTAGTAAAAAAAGAATGTTGAAAAAAAGGTAAAGAACGTATAGCTAGTAAAAAATAGGCAAAACTAGCTGCAGGTAAAGAAGTTGAAAAATGCTAAAGGTACCCCAATTGGTACCCCCAATTTGTACCCCACCCTATTTTTGTGGCTCACAAAAGCACCTCATTAAAATGGGGCAATTCATTTATTGAGGTGGGCTTTTGTGAGCCACAAAAATTGGTTGAAGTACAAATTGGGGGTACCAATTGGGGTACCTATAGCAGGGTTGAAAGAAGTTTTGGCACAAGTGTAAAAAAAATTAAAAAAATAGCCTTCTGAAAACCGTAAGTTCGTAAATCGCAAATGGCTTGTTGGAGCTACTGGGTGCTTGATCTTGGTTTGGGCTGTAGGCTGCTGGGCACTTGGGCCTTTCCTTGGTCCGATAGGCCTTTATTTTTTTCCCTAGCCTCTTCCAAACGACGCCGTACCAATTTAAAAAACATGTCAGCTTCATCATCTTCAATTGCTCGATCGTTTTCAGCTTCCCTGTCCGCGGCCGGCAAACAACTTTCCAAGCTCACCGGAAAAACTAAACGGATCAGTCCGGTGCCCCCCTAATCCCTACCTATACCCTAACTCGATGGCCGAAGCAGCTGGGGCAACGGTCCCCCTGGCAGATCCGTCCGACCGTCCCTGGCACTGGCTGAGAGAGGGGGGACCTAACTAGGCCCTGGCCCCAGCGCTAGTTATGTTAGTTAGGGTACTAAAAATAAAGAAAGAATATAAGGGGCCTGGTGCTAAAAAATTCGGCCCAGTCTCCCTTGCTGCGTGACTGCCTCACCTGTGATGGGAAAAGGGAATGTGCCGAAGTAGAGTGCTGGGTAAAAGAAAGGGAGAAAAGAATCAAAACAGAATTTTTAAAATTGACCCTTAGCCTTGGTCAAGCAACCAAACGCTGATCAAAATTTTAAAAAATTAACCCTTAGGTCTTGGTCATGCAACCAACAGACCATTATTCCATGAAATTAAGGCTAGTTTTATAACCCTAATTTATGAATTATGAGGTCTAATTTTAATCTATTCCTTCATAACTTGTAAAAGTCTATTACTTTTTTTTTGTGTAATATATTGTCAATTTCTAACCACATATTATACTACATCCGTCCCAAATTGTTTTGCAAAATAAATATTTTTTGGTCAATCAATAATAAAGTTAAATCCTCCCTATTGATAGTTAACTCAATCTTAATTATTAAAATTTGTATATTAGAAAGCACGGTAAAATCTCTATGAAGTTGCGAAATTCAAATTGAAATTAATTAGGAATTGATATCCTAATTAAATGAGTAAAATGAATCCGTTTATCCAAAAAGTCAATTTTGCAACTCAATTTGGGATGAAGGGAGAATGTGATATGTTATTTGTTTGTATTTGTTGATTACAAAATTATTCTTGCCTTACTAAATTGTTATTTCATTTAATTTCTATTCAATAATTAGTAATGATTTCCATAAAATATTTTGATTTGATAGATTTGATAGAAAAGATTATGAGACTCAACAACCTCCTCTAAGAAGCTGTTCCGTTCGTCTTAATCTTATTACTTATTCCTTAATCTTATTTTATTCAGATCAGATCAGATCAGATCAGAAAGATTCAGATCAGATCAGATCAGAAAGATTCAGATCAGATCAGATCAGATCAGATCAGAAACATTCAGATCAGATCAGAAAGATTCAGATCAGATCAGCAACATTCAGATCAGATCAGAATGATTCAGACCAGATCAGACCAGATCAGAAACATTCAGATCAGATCAGAAACATTCAGATCAGATCAGATCAGATCAAAAAATTCAAACATGATTTATCACTTTTATTAATATATTAATTATGATTATTATATTATAATTATTGTTAATAATATTAATATATTAATATAATAATATTATTAATAATATAATAATAATAATGTTAATAATATAAAATTATTAATATAATATAATATAATATAATATAATATAATATAATATAATATAATATAATATAATATAATATAATATAATATAATATAATATAATATAATATAATATAATATAATATAATATAATATAATATAATATAATATAATATAATATAATATAATATAATATAATATAATATAATATAATATAATATAATATAATATAATATAATATAATATAATATAATATAATATAATATAATATAATATAATATAATATAATATAATATAATATAATTATAATTATAATTATGATTTACAATGTAATTATAATTATAATCATCATTATTATTAATATTATTGTTGTTCTTGTTGTTCTTGTTGTAATTATTATTACTTCGGAGTAATTATATATTTAAATTAGTAATTATAGATATAATTATGATTATAGAAATAAATATTATAATTATAATTACAATAATAATTATAAAATTAATCATAATTAAAAATATAATTACATTTATAATTGTATCTGTACTTATAATTAGTGTAATTAGTATAATTATTATAATTTTAAATTTAATTTTAATTATTATTTTTTTATAATTATGATTATAATTGTAATTTTATTTAAGTTATATTTTTAATTACAATTATAAATCTAATAATTATAATTATAATTACAATTATAGAAATATTCAAATCAGATCAGAAAGATTCAGATCAGAAGAATTCAGATCAGATCAGAAACTTTCAGATCAGATCAGAAACATTCAGATCAGATCAGATCAGCAACATTCAGATCAGTTCAGCAACATTCAGATCAGATCAGAAAGATTCAGATCAGATCAGAAAGATTCAGATCAGATCAGATCAGAAAGATTCAGATCAGATCAGATCAGAAAAATTCAGATCAGATCAGATCAGAACTTAAAAAATTCAGATCAGAAACATTCAGATCAGGTGAACGGAACAGCTTCTAAGACTCAACAACGTATTTTTTCATAAAAACGTATATAAAAAACGTATTTTTTTTTTAATAAAGCAACTTTGCATTCTTTCCGGCCCTAAAAAAAACGTCACATTATTCCTTCAGATCGGCTACTACCGCTAATGGTGTACAAAGTGAAGGTACTAACAAGCACTAAAGTGACCAAAGTATTTCTAATGTTAAAAATCAATTATCTTGTACTCCGATTGTTATTGAAAAAGATTAAGGAAAAATAAAAATTATTTGATTGACTTTTAGACACAAGGAATGAAGTGAAACGAGTATATCTAATATCTCTCCCTTACCAACCAAAACTTCAATCGTACGGAGTATAAAATCGGAGAATATAAATATAAAATTCGACATTTTTAACAGAGTTAATTTAAGGATTATTAATTTATTTTATCCCAAACTATCATCAAATTCATAAATTTATCCTATACTTTCACTTTTATTAGAAAAAGACTCAAACTTCATGTTTTTCAACAATTATGCTTTTCTTTTTTGTTTTTTTTTCAAAATTACTTATTTTATAAATATCAATAAGATATAAGCAATACAAGTTTGTAAACTTGGAACTAGAGGGAAGTGAAAAAATATGAAATATAAATATGATTTTCTTCATACGTCATCAATTGAAAGTGTAATTGTGAGAAAAGTTGATGTTTGAGTGTTTTTCTAATAAAAATGAAAGAATGGATATATTTGTGAATTTGATGATAATTGGGGATATATTTAGCTAATAATCATTAATTTAATGAGTTTAATTGGTTATAGTACTCTTTGTGGATACGGCCCACCCTTCTTTGATGTCCTGGCTCCGCAGCCCGCCCCTGCACAACGGGTATTACATATAACCATGGGTTACCATTTCTTAAAAGGGTCATGAATATTTTAATATAAAAATAAAAGTTATTTTAAAATGTGATTAACCAAGAAAAATTCATATAATAGCCCAAAAAGACTCTTCAAGTCTATTATGGACTTTCTTCATATATTGTAGTAAGTTGTGCACATCAACATATACAAAATGTAAAGGGGAAAATCTTATCTTTTTAGGTGCGAGATAAATGTAGAAAAAATAACTCAAATCATAACTAAAAATAAACGAGACGAGTACGGACTAGTAATGGAGCAAACATGTATAAAACTATTATCGCCTCATTACCCATAAAAATTATATGATTATTCACAACCCCGTATGGTTACCCGATCAAGTCAATACGGTTTTTTCTATATTTTGACTGGAGGAGTACAATGCAAGTATCCATTAGGTCAATCACAACTACTATCTTTTGTACTCTACAATAAATTTACCCTCAGTCTAAACAACATTTAAAGAATATAAAGGAAAAAAACTACTACCTTTCTCTAAGTTTGGGACAAAGGGGTGTGATGTGGTTTTTAAGAAAAAGTAGAATTGTGTGGTTAGTATTGAATTGATAAAGTATGAATAAAGTAAGAATGAATTCTAACCACTCATATATTACCAAATATAGTTTGATACAAACTTAATAGAACGGACGAAAAAGGTAAAACGGGACAAAGTTAGAATGACGGAGGGAATATGATTTAAAATGCGTGTGATTCAAATGAAAAAGTTTAGATATGAAAGGATTGAAGTAAATTTTTCATGAACAAATTTTTCATGAACAAATAGTAGAGTTTTTATGTAGTACACCGTCCTGAAAAGGTTGATCAAATTTCCTTTTCTGAATGTCCCAAAAAATTTGTCATTTCCATTTAAAGTAAAAATATGTGGTTAATGTTAATTCTTTTTTCTTTGCACAAATTTAAACCACGCCGTTTTTATTTCATTGATCGACGAGAAAGTTAACTTTCGCCAATCTTTCGAAATATAAAAGAACAAAAAAATGGAAATTATTAAAAGACGAGGAAGGGCAGTAGACGACAAGAATACACTCAAAAAGGGAGTGTATGCATACTCCGCATTAATTGACGGGATTCTTAAATTACACTTATATCCCGTGTAATTTGTTACGTTTGGCCACACGGGTACATAAGGCAGACATTGGTAACGAGTACAAGCACAGGGGTAAGGTAGTCATTCTCTTCTGAGTCTCTCTCCGTCCTACAGGCGGTACGGTGTAGGATTACTATTATCTCGCTACGTGCCAGACGCGACTGCTATCGTCAGGGGCGATAATGGTCTTTTCCGGTCACACGTTTTCACGTTTTTTTTTTGGTTTTCTTTTATACTCATTCTCTTTTTCTCTCTTTCTCTCTTACTCTGAGCTCTGGTTCCAGAAATACGATACGGTACCGTCCTTACTCGAGTTCATACATCTCTGAGAGACAGAGAAGCACAGCTTCACTTGTTCTTCCTGTAGTGGTAAGTTTTCAACCAGTTTTATCCTTACTTCGAGTTTCCTTTTCAGGAACTAGTTTGTTTTTCGTAATTTTTTTTGGTGATTTTTGAAGGACCGTGACTATTATGCGATGTTCGCTTTGTTTATTTCATCTAGAATACGAATGTTTGTGGTATGATCGTGCCTACAATCTGTTATTCTGCCGATGTTCTGCTGCCTTCTTCTCTCGGCTGTACTAGAATGCAGATACTGTTAAATAGGCGTACACATTTGTTTATACATGTAAATGTTGAAAATAAGGTGGTGTTGTGACTGCAGATTAGTTGCCATAAAGGCATAACAGTGCGCGCTTGTATGTGCAGATATTTATCACAGTGGGCCAGCTATTGATGTAGGGTTTTTGAATTTTTGAAGGGAATTAAAACGAAGTGAAACTTATTTTTTCAGATTATTGGTATTTGTTTATGTTTCAGCTTGTTAGATTAATCACTTATGAAGTGTATAATGAAGTCTGGTATTCTGTAGGAAACTGATTGAATGGGTTCTAAGAAGAAGAATAAAAACCAGACACAGAAGGAACAACCGACCCAACCGTACAACTGCAGTGTGCCTGCTCGTAACCTACCGAAGAGTGATCTTGGAGCGGTCATTTTTGGCTGTAAAGGCCATACAATTGACGAATGCTTTTCCAAACTTTTATTTGGTTTTTCTCTTTCACTGTCTCTCTTTCATGCATTGTACTTTTCCACCAAGTTTTTTTTGCAGAATTTGGTAGTTATGTTAGTCTGGTATAATCATAATTAGTAATCTGTGATGTGTGCATTTCTGTACTGTACATACAAGTATGGAATTATATAGGCATTGAGTTTCATCAATATGCTACTCATTATAACTTCTACCAAATCTGATGTGATTTTGGTTTTGTTTTTGTTGGTCAGGACTACCATTTGGACATTTTGCATATGTCAAGAAGGTTAGTCCTGGCCTTCCGCTTTTTCTTTTTAACTACAGTGATAGGAAACTTCTGGGTATATTTGAGGCTGCTGGCCCTGGAAAACTAAATATTGACCCATATGCATGGACTAATGGCACTGACCATGAAACAGAATTTCCTGCACAGGTAGTAACGCAGTTAAACCATTTGTTTAGAGTAGTCCTAGAAAGGCATCACAATTGGATATTAGTAGGAGACATTCCAAAGTGGTACATCCGTACATATATGTTTGGTGACTCCCGTGTCACAAAATGAATATGTAACACATGGAGATATCTCTCTACAATGTCCAACTTTAATGTCTCTCTAGCTCTACTCTTTGTTGTACTTATATATATAGAATTCACAAAAGCAGTACGACACACATATCAGACATATGACATACCTGCAAATACTCATCTTATTATTTTGTGTCTTTCAAGGTGAAAATTAAAACGTTCAAGAGGTGCTATGCTTTGAAAGAAGACCAGTTTTACCCTGTCATTGCTGATAACTACTATGATCAAACTCAGCCCAACTATTTTTGGTTTGAGATGGACCATTCTCAAACAGCTAAGATGATCAATTTGTTTTTGTCTTCATCTCTGCCTTATGCTCGTCCGTATCATCACCATAAACCTACAAGTGATGCCAGCTGTTCTATTCCAAACATTTATAATGCTCCTTTGCCTTATGGAGGTAAACCGCACAATGCACCTACAAGTGAAGCTCTTCCACAAAATGATGCCCATGCTTCCTCTGAACAGAAAACATGGAGCTCTCTGTTCAAATATGATACATCCTCTGATATGGTGAACAAATATGAGCTTCTGAAGATTGCGTCTTCACGACCAACTTCACCCTTGTCAGAGCATTACAATGGTGGAGAATGGGAGTCTTGTACATCACCATCAATAACCAAAAGTGAACTCCATGAGGTATGTGAAGAGGAGATTGAGGGAGATAAAGAAAGTATTCATCCTTTTATTGAGGCTTCTGGAGCCTATTCTGGCGAATGGGAGGTAGAGGAGGTTGAAGGAGATGCAGACAATATTCAGGCTCAGGAGATTGAGGGAGATAAAGAAAGTATTCATCCATTTATTGAGGCTCCTGGAGCCTATTCTGGCGAATGGAAGGTAGAAGAGGTTGGAGCAGATGCAGACAATATTCAGGCTCCTGAATATTCAGTGGACGGGAGTTCTTCAACCAAACTGAATGGGATATGCGCAGAGGACAGTGATGAAAGATATGAAGAGCCATTTGTTGAAGCTCCCGATATTCTATCAATGGTAGCTCCAGTTATCCTTTATAGTTTCATCTAGATATTTTCTCTTTTAATTCATATAACTGTTTTTTTATTTATTTGAAGCTGATGCAAGAGGTTCATATACTGAAGGAGAGGCAAATGAAACAAGAAGAAAAAATTCAAACTCTTGAGAAGGAGCTGGTATGTGTGTTTGAGATTTAAGAGCATCAGCTTTCTGCTTATTATTACAGATCCCATCTTTCAAAGGTTCCATTTAACTATAAAATATTTTGGTTTCTTTACGCTAGTGCTTTCTGTCTACTGATCTACTCTTGTTTGAACATTGTTTGGACGGTTTTTTGCATAACTCATAATAGTTTAGGAAGCCTAACCAGGACAGGTAGGCTGAAGGAATGCGCTCTATCAAATTGAATGAATGTATATGAATGACATTTTATAAAAAACCTTCATAGTTTTCTTCTTGGGGAAAAGAGTAAAGACAGTGGAAAAAAATAAGCAAAAGTAAAAGAGGGATCACATTATATGAATAATCCATATCCATGACTTGGTAATTAAAAATTAATTTCCTTTGTGTAATCAGGTTCAGTCAAGAGATGAACTTCAAAAGTTACGGAATCAGCATCATGCATTGGAAGCAACCCCATTGCCTTCAAGCCAACAGTTTGAAGGATATTATTGCGGAACACCTAACTCCTCTGATAAGATGGACAGCCATGTGCTAGTAGTTGGAGGGTTTGATGGTTCTAATTGGTTGCCTTTTATTAGTTCCTACTCTGTTTTGAATGATCGCATGGAATCTCTCACCAAGATGACGTTCTCGCGTACATATTGCTCTGTAGTAAATTTGAATAGTGAGGTTTATGTATTTGGTGGCATGTATGGTGAGGTGTGGTATGACACAGGTATAACATCTCATTTTACTTCTTTTGTTTTTGCATAGATTTACTTTACGTTTTGCATATAAATTCTCTTAACTCTTTTAAACATTTAGTTGAAGCATATAATCCTGGGAGTAATGAGTGGTGCAAACGACCCTCGCTAAATCGCAAGAAAGGAAGTCTGGCTGGAGCATCTTTGCATGGCAAAATTTTTGCAATTGGTGGGGGAAATGGTGTGCATTGTTTTTCAGAGGTGGAAATGCTAGATTTGAACATTGGAAAGTGGTTGCATTCTAAATCAATGATTGAGAAGGTATGAATAATCCATCTGACTTTTTTACCCTCTAATTCTTATTTGGAAAAGTACTTCTCACAAGTCATACTAAACAAGCACTCAATGATCAATGCAATCTGCCTGCTAGCTCAGAAGCATTCATGTTCTTACATCTTAGAAGTTTGTTTATTTCTGTTACTTGGTAGTTGCTGATTTACTCTTTCCTTTCAGCGTTTTGCAACAGCAGCAGCAGAAATTAAGGGTGCACTCTACGCAGTTGGTGGCTATGATGGAAATGCGTACCTAAAGTAAGATCCATTATGATATGCTGAGCTTTCAAATGCTTGCTTTGACATTTTTCCCTAAGCCCGCCCCCACTTTTCTGAAATGTTCTGTTTCCCATACCAAGTTTCTGAAACCCAGATTCTACTCATGTTTTTTCAAACTAGTTTTCTGAAACATACCCCATTTGAATTATTAGCATTTCCCCCCAGTAAACTGCTTTTTATGACTTATAGTTCTTCTCTTTTGGCATGTAAAGATCTGCTGAAAGATTTGATCCAAGGGAGCATACATGGAGTAAATTAGGTGACATGAAGGCGAGAAGAGGGTGCCACTCTTTGGTTGCTTATAATGAGAAATTGTACGTTCTAACTTCTAATTTCATAATTATTGTTTGGTTGGAGTGTAATAGAATGGACTTTTTGCATCTAAGTGTAATTATTGTTGGTTACTTTTTGTTTCCTTTTTTTAACACAAGACCGATATTAGGAATTTGATTAGTAGGGCAGTTAGGGCTTGTATGCTATCAGTCTTTAGTTGTTGGTTTCATGTTTTAAAAGTTGCATGTACTGATGTATACTTGTATAGTTTGTATTGTGAACCTAAAAATGGTAATATGTTATGGGTGTGGATGGGGGACATAAAAAGAAGAAGATTAATCACTAAGATGAAGAACTTCTATGCCCTATGCAAGAGAAGGTGGCATTCAACTTTGTCAAGAGTCTCAGGAATAACTCCAAATATCAGTAATTGTCAACTTTGTCAATAGCTAATTTGTGGACTGGTGAATTAATATTTAGTGATTTTTTTCCATGTCTGATCCACAGCTGTATAATTCAACTAATAAAATGCTACCAAACAGATATGCACTCGGCGGGTATGATGGAAACCGATTAGTCCCAAGTGTTGAAGTTTTTGAGCCTCGTGTTGGTTCGTGGACGGTGGTGGATCAGATGAAACATTGTAGAGGCAACTTTGGAGCCGTTGACATTGGCGGGAAGATATATGTACTTGGAGGGTTGACCAACGGGGAAGATGTTCTAGATACAGTAATATCATACCTTCTTCTTTTTCGTTTAAGGAAATTGTTGTGGTTCAAATTAATTCTTTCTTCCGTTTTTTTGAAAGAACAATTCTTTCTTTTAAAAATAAATTTTAATCACATAATTTTGTAGTCTTAAAAACAATGCAAATACTAATGATATAAAGGATAATAATAGTATTAATGTATTGATATTGCAAATATTAATAATTATTTTAATCTTTAGTAATAATAGTAGTATTAGTGACACTAATAATATTGGTTATTATTAATAGTAGTAATTTTAACATAATAATAATTGCAGTCATAATTACAATAATATTGTATTATGTGAATACCTGATTTATGACTGAAATGAGTCCAAGAGAATATGCTCTAAATCTAGTCTTAGCACACTATCTTTACCCTATTATCAGAAATAATTAATTGAAGTGAAATTATGAGTGGAATTTATGTAAACTTTTTCGTTGGTTTATTCCTCATTCTTGATCCTGTATTGTATATTTTATCCAAGTCTCTCTCGAAATTGCAGGTGGAGTGCTATGATGGCTACGAGTGGAAGATTACCAACCTGAGGGGTGTGGGGAAGCTATCTTTTTTCTCATCCCTTGTGCTGTGAGTGCTGTGCAGCAACCCTGGTTTCTAGGAGATATATTTTGCAAATGATGACGATGATGACGATAATGGCATGGTATAAAAATTACCTGTGACTAAGAAAGCATGAGGAAGTTGCTTAGGATGGGTTGTAGTTAATTTACCCCCAGTGCATATAGGGTAGTTGGAAAGGATAGAAAGCTAATCTAATGTAGGCGACATGTTTTGTCACACTATGATTCCTTGGCTGCATGTTTTGTCACACTATGATTTCATTACCATGCGATTACTTTACAGTTTGTGGTCACTGTGATGTGGTCTCTTATGGCGTTTTCTTTTACACCTGGTTTTAGTTCAATTGCCAGTGCAAAATCCATCCATCACGGGTCATGTATAGACTATAGTGGTGTGCTGGCATCCCAATCTTATAGGGTTAGGTTCAAGTACACAATTTGGTAAAGATTTACCTGAACTTTTGGAAAATTTAGATGGGGTCTGGTCCCGTATGGGTCGGATTTAGTTTCTGTTCTGATCCCTCATTGGTTCCATTTTGACTTATTTTAAAGTACCCGAATCCTGATTAGTAAGTAGATAATAAGGATGTTTTCTTTTGGACTGTTTCCAGTCCCAGATCAGACCAGACTTAAACAGACCAGATCAGACCAAACTTGGATGGTTATAAAATACACAGAGAGACCAGACGTTTACCAGGCCAGTTCAGACCAAACCAGACTTAAACAGACCAGATCAGACCAACAAATTTCAATCCAAAAGAAAACATCCTAATCGGTGAGGATTTATTTTGATAGATCGATATTGTAGTTGGTTTGGATCGGCTTCTGCTACTTGTATGGGCTCTTGCCAAAAAATGGTGGTCCAGGTCTGATTTTGGAATCTGTCATCCATATTTTCATTTCTTGCATTTGTCGTTATATATCGCCTTAGTTTGCTATCATCTTTTCTGTCTAAAAAGTTCTAGAAACCATGAAAACTAGTGGAGTAGGGGTGGACTCGGGCCGGTATGGGCCCGGTTCGGGCCTGGGCCCACCCGGGCATCGGTTCATGAAAGGGGAGGCCCGGAACTGGCCCGGGTAACCCCCGGGTCCGGTTCGGGCTGGGCCGGGCCTCGGTTCAATTTTTTTTTTTGGCTTTTCTTAATTAACCCCCAACCCTCCCCCCTCACCCCCAAACCACCTCAAATGGCCCAAAATACTCAGCCAACCCAAAAACATAAAAAAAATTCAAAAAGAAAAAGAAAAATAAATAAATTGGCCCGAAGTGGCCGGGCCGGTTCACCTTTTTAGGGGCCTGAGCCCGGCCCGGAACCCCAGCGGGTTGGGCCTACCCGGACCGGTCCCTGGCCGGGCCGGTGGTTCGGGCTGGTTCAAACAGTGACCGGGCTGGGACGGTTCCGCGCCGCCCGGCCCGAGTCCACCCCTATAGTGGAGTATATTGCATTTTGTAGTGAGCTTCAAATGTTCTAAAAATACTTTTCTAAAACTACTTTTCCGTATGGAATAGTTGAAATTAGTTGCATGACTGCATCCACATTTAATGTCTTTAATTTAAAGTCACAGTGATGCTATTGAAAGTGATAACGATTCAATTCATGTGCTGAAAGTCCGATTCAGATTCTCAAAACACATGCCGAAGTCTAAGACAACTTCTGGTTGTTTGCAAGTAGGGTTAGGTCTTGACCAGTTCAAGTTCTAGACTATCGGTAATGGTCCTAATGGAATTAGAATTTTAAATAGGTAAGTTACTTCTCTTTTTAAATTGACTAGTCTTTCACATATGTTGCGTGGGATAACAAATTACGAAATTACCTGTGAAGTCATCCAATTCTAAAGTATGATATACATTACTAACTAATTTATGGATTGTATTTGAATGCATGTGTATCGAAAATTATAGGCTAACAAAAAATCATTTTATGTATAAAAAGGGGTTTGTCCTCAAATAATACTAATTAAAAGCATTTGGACAAAAAAGAGACTTTTATTTTAAGTTCCAAAAATAAGACTAAATAATACTTAAGGGATTGTTACACCCTACTAAGCCCAAACCCACTGGCCTGCTACAGTAACCCGCCATAGTGACCAAATGTGTAGTGACCAATGTTACAGTTACCAATGACATAGTTACAAAATCCGCCAGTGACCAAAATCCATCAATGACCAAAATCCGCCAGTGACCAAAATCCTATAGTGACAAAAAATCATCAGTGACCAGAAATCTGAAATCTATTAGTGACCAAAATATTGGTGACCAATAAATTCATTAAGTGACCAACCACGCCCGACCAGTGACCAATGTTCGTACGTTCAGTTACCAATATCCGCCTGTCGAGTGATGTCCGATTGTCCGTCCATCCAATTACGATTATCGAGTTCACACTTCACACTGTTACAATTACCCGACCTCGCTCAACTACAATTACATGACTCATCCAGTTACAATTACCCGACCCATTCAATTACAATTACCCGATCCACCCATTACCGTTACACGGACCGATAGTTACAATTACATGTTTAATTCAACCATTACAATTATCTAGTTTGACCATTTAAAGTTACTGGATCCTGAAAGTTAACATAGCCGCAACCCCTCGGCACCACCACCTGTCACCACCGCTGCGCACCACCACCTTCCGCCACCGCTGGGCACCAAAGCCGGTGAGCCGCCACTGCACTATGGTGACCAACCATCACGTCAGTGACCACCCCGCTCTCCGGTGACCACCCACCCCAACCGCCTCTATAGCCTTCCACAGACCCCAAAGCCCTCTACTACCACCAACAACAGTGACCCAGCCTGCGACCCCTCACCACCAGTCACCACCACCACCCCTGACCAGCAACCGCCGCCACTTTACACGCACGCCTACACCAATTCTGTGCCTTCCGCCCTACACCAACCACCAATGTTCCACATTTCTCAAGGTCGACAGGAATCTCAAATCTGCCCTAGCGACAAAGTCGCCGATTCGATAGATCTCGCCGATTCGATAGATCTCGCCTCTGGTTGGTGTTTTTCGCTGGATCTACGAAACTTGTCGCCGCCGCTGGAGGAAACAATGGCGAAGCGAGCAACCTAACAGCGGTTTGCAGAAAAGAAGAAAGGAGAAGAATAGAAGGGGCGAGTTCCAGTCGCAGGTGTCGCTACCGCAACCGCCGCTCTTCGTATCTGTCTCTCTCCGTAGCCGTTGCCGTCGATCGAAGAGTCGCCGTCTTCGTCACATAGTTTTGCCATGGACATATTTGTCTCCCTCCATAGCCGCTGTGTGGTCTAGCCGTCTGGGGCGCATAATCCGATTGAGGAGGAGTAAAACGGGAGGTTCAAGAGATTGGAATTGGGGATTGAAAATAGGGGTATTTGAGACATTTTGTTCTTTTGAGCACTTTTTTGTCCCAAACGGATCTGCACACATTTTTGTCTACGGAAGACGTTGGAGACTTCTTTTGGTCATTCTTTCTATAAAAAATGAGCTAACAATTAGAATACTGACAACTCATTTCTCCTAAGTCTAGGTGCTTGTGTATTTGAATTTTTAGAATATGAAGAGATAAGAAGAACCTAATAAGATTTGAATTCTAAAACAACAAAAGAAGATTATAAGAACGTAATATTTGCAAAAGTTTACATCCACCTTAAATATGTATGATGAAGGTGAGTTTTGGGGAAAAAATGATTCGATATCTCATAGGACAGTTTTCTTGACTTCAGTGGTAAATTCTATCCTCGTGAAGTTGCATGAGGTGTAAAAAAAAGAACAACTGATATGCTAATGGATATATGGAATGATCAAGTAAAGAGTTATATGAATAAACTTGTAAATGATGATTAACCTTAGCTTCACTATGGATCCAAGTTGTACGTACCATACCAAATAGTTCAATCAATATTACTCCAATTGTTTAGAAATAAAAAAACTAGGGAAAATCGCATCTATGGTCTCTCAGTTATCCACGAAATTAAAATCTCATACCTGTATTCTTGAGATTGTAAATGTCACCCCTCAATTGTCCAAAATGCTGTAAATGTGGTCCTTTTGAGGGGTGAAATATACAATGTGGGCGATAGTACATTTCACTACTTAAAGGACCACATTTACAACAATTTGGACAATTGAGGGGTGACATTTACAATCTCATAAATACAAGTCTGAGATTTTAATTTCGTGGATAACTGAGGGACCATATATGCAATTTTCCCAAAAAACTAACTTGATTAGCAAGAAGTTATACATATTATAGAGCAATCTTCATTTGATGTCATTATATTATTAAAATTATATGCATCAGAGAACATATAAATGAATTAGAAGAAAAGTGACTAAGCTACAAAATTCACAATTTTTCTGTAAAAGTGAAATTGAAATAATACAAAAGTATTGCCGATAATTGTTTTATGAAATACACTATATATCTAATAATTAACCATTGTTGATAACAAATTAACAATAAATAATGTCAAACTGTTAATTGCCTGGTCTCTTCAAGAGAGCACTAATTACTTCTATGATTTCAGAAAAAATATTGATGAACTATAGCAAATAAGATTGTGCAAGCAAGTCTTCAAGTACCTATTATTTGACAAAATGTTATCAAAGAATTACACCAAATTAGAATTACAATGAAATGACAATCATTATTATGAATAGCATTAGTCAGTAAATAAATTTTTAGGTGAAAAACCCTGGAGGTCTCGGGTTCGAAACTCAATGGAGTGAGTTTCAGCCTAATTACTCCAGGCCCCCCAGGCCCCCTCCCACAGACCCCCTGGAGTTAAAAAGAATGAAAAGTATGCATTGTTTTTGTCCATATTTTAAAAACTGGACACCTTAACATTGCTTGTTGAGTTTTTAGAATAACCATATTTAATTTATCATTAGAATCTTCAATCCTGCACGTCATGTCACTCTAGACACCTCAACATATAATTGCTCATGTGTAAAAACTAAATTTGCAATAAAGTTCAAGTTCTAGACTTTTATTAATAGTCATTGCATAATATGATACTAAAAGTGGGAATTGACTTCTCTTGAAGTTAAATGGTAGACTCAAATTGGATAGTCACACTTGAAATCCAGAACATTTTCTTAAAAACATTTGAAATCAATGCTTCTATAACAAGATTTGCAACTCTTGTTACCCTTTATCTTCCATTACAAAAGCGGGTGAATGGTCAATGTCACATGAACATAGACTTTTAGCTTCAACTCATGATCACAATTATTAGTACTAATGGAATTAGAACTTTAATTAGGTAAGCTAATTCTATTTTTAAGTTAATTACATTTCAAAATCAATTAGGATACTATTCTTATCTTAAACAAAAAATATTAAATCAATAACCCAAACTGAATAGCTTCAGTCCTATTTTGAAGTAATTGAATTGGATCCCACAGTTGCATGTAGGTAATCGAAATCTAATATGATTTCTCATTGTTCACAAAATAATTCAATTCAAAGCGAGCACAAAATAAATCGCCTAGGCTAAATCACATGATTGTGGCTTTTGTGAGCTGGTTTGTATGTTACTTGCAATCAAATTTGTTTTTAGCATTTAAAGGGAATTTATTTATAAATGAATGAAATTAAGGATTGTATCAAATGTATTGTGCCAAACTTTATAATGCACTAAGAATGTGTCATCGTGGAAAACGTTGGCATACCCCTCGATAACATCTAGCAATTTTGCTCAAACTAAATCAAATATTTAGAAAGTCAGATGGTTCTTTTATAAAGTCGTATATAGTATACTCACAAGCACCATTATCATCATATGTTTTACAAGCACCATTATAAAATGTAAGACCAAGCATTTTGGAACACAAGTGAGAATGTGAGATGTTCAATGGTGATCAATTGTCTAGTGTTATAATAGATGTAGGAAAGACAAAGCAAAAACAACAACAAGAAGAATAAAATACACAAACTTACGTAATTCATCAACATTCTATTACCTATGTCCACAGATGGAAAGAGAATTAATTTTATTAAAAGGAACAAGTTTAGACTTCATCATTATCTATACAACTTGAAAAATGTCTTTTTAGAGTACCGCAACTGAAAGGACCGCAACACTTTCACAATAAAAAATCACTAATCTAAATATTAAGGCAGAAAAATTAGAAGACAATGCTTCTGACTTTACTAAGAAACTCGCTGAATCTTAGGGGGGAGCATTTCTTTCTTTTCACCCGTCCTGGTGCTAAACAACGGTTAAAACACATTCTAAGGGAGAGTTTTCTACTTTACTCCCCATGCGACAAACAATGACACTTGCAGCTTCCGGGGGGGGGGGGGTGTTTCTCCTGGCGCAGAATGTCAAATGCAAGACTACTCAAGGATGCACTTTTTGAGGGGGAGTTTTCACGTTTCTCCTCCCCGATGCTAAACCACCACAAATACATATCATAGCGAGTGCTCCTGTTGAGGAAGAGCAATGACAGATCAATAGTCTCCAACGACTCGATCGAACTCAACTAATCCTACCCAAATGACAAAACCAAACATGAGTGAACATTGCGAGAGTGAGGATGCAAAACGCTCAAGTGAGAAAGAAAAAGAAAATCAATGACATCTGCCTCCTCAACGACGCTATCCACCGAAAGAAAACACCGGAAATCACTCAAAATACCCCGGACAACCCCCACAAGCACATGACTGATTTAGTTAGATATCGGGTAGAAGTCGCTGCATCTTGTCCAATGACGCATGCACAATCATACCCTAGACCACTCATTTGTCTCCCAATAGACATGTGATTAAACATCATCACATGAAACCTCATCTTTTATCATTGTCTCTTTATGAGACGAGTGATACTGATTACAATGGTCCACAACTCCACACTACTATATTTTCATTGATCACGTCGTGTCTAGTTGCTCAGTTCCCAAATGATTTCCCATTTTCTAGGACAGACACATGTAGAGTTATTTGTCGGTCTTCATGACCATGAGAGAACTTCCATAGGCTCATCTATCATAGATGCAGTTCGAGGATTGGAAAGATGTCCTCACATTGCAACATCAATATCACCAAAAATTTCAGGCCATCCTTTGAATTTTCCTCTAAAGCGATGATAACGGGTAATCTACGTGACCCTAGGGCTACAATTTCCTTTGCTGATCCATGTGATCATGCAACACCGACCGGAGTGACATTTACTTTAGATGCTTCACGATGATTGATTGAAAGCCCTGCTCATGTTTTCAATGATGCTCAATCATCATAAGTAGGCCACACATCAATGTTTTTCATTGATGATGTAATAATTGTACACCAAAGTGTCTTCAGGCATTTTCCATTTTTTGTTTTTGTTTTTTAAGCATAGTAAACAAGACATCTCGATGCATCATATCGTCATGATGGGGATTATGGTCCATGTGCATTGAAAATCGATATATCATTGACAGACACATATCTCCAACAATTGAAAAAGCAAGCCCGCTAAATCTATATACGCTGAGAGGCTCTGGCTCACAATAAAAGGCAACAACTTTGAGCTCACATTTTCATCATGAACATTTCAAAGAGTATGAGCTCCAGTTCACCCCCAGCCATGAGCTACAAGTCCTAGCAAATCAGATATATGGTGTGTTTGGCATTCAACGATTGTCGGTTAGCGGATAGCGGATTATGTTAGCGGGTTGTCAATAGCGGATTCTGTCAGCGGGTTTGACTAACGGAATAAATTGGCGGGTTGTCAGAAGATGTTTGGTAATTTAGCAGGTTGCCCATAAAACTAGTAGAAAACGCCATTTTTCAAAACGCCAATCCAAAACTCTCCTATTAGCAGTGTTTTCATTTCAGCGTTTTCGTCCAAAATGCTGATGCTAAACAGCTATTTACCAAACAACTTTTTCACTTATTGAAAATGCTAAAAGTGGTCAAACCGCCATTTTTCTGCTGAAACACTGTTTACCAAACACCCCCATACTCAAATGGTCATTACACTACAAATCATCCATCATTTACGTTGTGCCACCGACGAAAAGTACTCCTCAAGAAATGTCAAATCAAACAGTCAAATAGACCAAATTCTTGGAGAGATTTAGGTTGGATGATACTCCCTCTGTTAATAGATTAAAGATTGTGTGGTAGAGGTTTGTACAGAAGAGAGAGAATTAACTAGAATCATTAATTCTTTAGTTAAAAAGGAAAATGGCAAAGTTAGTGGAACAACAAAAAAGGAAAATTGACAGATTTTTAAGGGACGGAGGGAGTATGAAATGAAAGATGAAGCCTATGCATCCCTAGAACTCAATTGAATAATCATTCTAGAGGCGACATCAGACCTCATTCATACTGATCAAGGAATAAAGGGGAGATTGCTGCACTTCGACATCAAAGAAGAGATTACTAGGAATCAAGAAATACAAGATGATTTGAGCATCTCTTAATAATTCTAATAAAAATGAGGAAGCCTGTCAACACAAAGACAAAGATACCCGCACTACAATGCAAATTGGCACAAATGAGGAGATTGTTAGGAGTTATTTATTGTGTCCAATTACACTCATTATCTTTATATTTGTCTATTAATTTAGTTATTAAGTCTCTTATGTTTGCATCTCATTATGTATTTATTATGCATTTATTTTAGTAAAAATAGGAAAATTGTATGTCACTTTCTTAACTATCGGCAGACACAATCCTTTGTACGGTACTGGATATCAAACGCGTATGCGTATGTATCTCACACTAGTTGAGCTGTCCCTGTAACTTTGGCTTAGCTTGCATTTGCGCCCAAACATTTTTTAGAGAATGGAGAGTTGTGATATTCATACCCTGTATGTTCACCACATATATCATCGTTGATATTGAGATCAAAACTTAATCTCTTCTATATGTGATTATTGGATAAACTGGTCTTTCATATCTCACGGGTAACGACCCTCCTTATAACTTAAACTTATAGCCAATTGTTGACCAAGTGCAGAAATCACGTGTTGCACTTGATCTCTATTTCCGCTCCCTTGTTCACAATTAAATCTATAGTTCACTTGCACACAAAAAGCTCATCTATCAACCTTTCATTAATATGTAAAAGGTTTTCCCAAGAAGGAAATAAAACAAGACTACATGGCAAGTGGCAACCAAGGAAGTTCTTAGAGGAAGTGGTCTGACTCACATGGTCGTCAACTTGCTCTCCCTTGGGAGGTTTCGAATACATTACTCCATAAGGAGTTTGGTCCCAACGGCCCAACCCCACCCCATCATGGTTTAGATTTGATTATAGGGGGTGTTTGGAATTGATTCTGCTTCTGCTTCTTTTTTAAAAGCAAAAGCAGAAGCAAAATCAGAATCAGTTTTCAGAAGCTGGTACCTCCCAGCTTCTAAAAAAACTGATTCTGAGAGTAAATTAGAGCTCCAAAAGTACTTCTTAAATTTCACCCAAACACTCCAGCGCTTCTGCTCTCTGAAGGGGCAGAATCAGTTTTGAGAATCAGATCCAAACACCCATAGTACTCCATATACAGAGTATATCATATGAGGGCTGAATTTTTTATTTTGCTATAATTCTGAGGTTTTTTTTTAACTAAAAAGTTTATTATACATACGGTTAGCTGGGGTGAAGTAACTGCAGAGAGAGTGGCGGATATATCAAAGTGGTGTGCTTTCATCCTCGATCTTTTCATATTTCTCGCTCTAAATTTCACTTCCATTTCTTCTAGAGATCTCCACTTGTATCTTCGTCGATGGAGTCAGCCGCCGTTCTTCGTTCATTCCACCGTAATTCGCTCTCTATCTATCAGTCGCCCTATTAATCTTTTTGGATGTTAGTTTCTTTGTGTGTGTATGTTGAATGCGTGCTCGTTTGTTTATCAGCTTAGTTATTTATACAAGCTAACCTATTCAATTTTCACCTATTATGTTAGCTCATACTCAGATTGAGTTCCAATTTCTCTGCACCGATGTTAACGCAAATGCTTGTTTCTCTAAATCAATGAAAGCTCTGCTTTTGGATCCTTTTTATGGTACAAAAGTTGCCAATAAGTCTTTGAGATTAGTTTCTCATTAATTTGTCATCCAAGCACCATTTCATCTTCTTTGTTAATTCAGATTGATGTTTGGATATGAGTGCCTATGTGTCTGTCTTTTGTTTGACTGGGAGAAGGTTGCCTGTTGGCTATTGTTACATTTTGGGGACAGAGTCTGAATATAAGTAGAACGAGTCTATGCAGATCAATGCTCCAATGTTCATTTGAAGAACAATGAGTTGCTGCAGTTTGAGATTTATACATTGGCTATTTGTAGAGTGACGTCTTTCTACTGCCCTTTCTAGTGGGCTTGTTATCTGCTTTTCAATTTTCTCTTACATTATGTGTGTGTTTGATGCTATGAAAAGTCAAAACTATAGGTTTATAAGGCAAGTTAACAAAAGTACTCATACGAAACAAAATGGGTTTGTTTTAATGTTATGTTTGGTTTTAGTTTTTTACCTTGGAAAATATGAAGGAAAATGTATTCTGATTGTTTATTATTATTGAACTTTTATATACACATATATTTAAATTTCTTAGCCTTTAGAAGGTTCAAATTTCCCACACTTTTTATTTCCTTCCAAATTTCATCTGTATTTTTCTCTCTATTTCTTTCCCTATCATATCATGATTTCAGAAGAGACCCTATATAGAATATGTTTCAAAGTGGTATAATCATTTAAATGCTAAAATAGTTATTTTCCCTTTTCAAGATCCTCTAGGTACATCTAATCTGAAGTCAGTATTGGAAATGCCCGGTGTGGTCCCCATGAATAGTTCCGCATTGTCCAAGTTTGAATTTCCTGGGAAGCTCATTTTCATGCATAGTAGGCACAATAGATTTGTCGTTTCATATGCAAAGCCATCTAAAACAAATGCATCAGAAAATTTGAATGGTCAGTTGCAGTTCTTTCAAGTTCCAACTACAATTTGTATCAGATTTGTATGATGTTAATTCACTTTTTTATATAGTTAGTTAATGTCCTTTAAGCTATCCTACTCCCTTTATTTATCATCTACTTTAATTTTGCTCAATGCTCACTAATAATCAAATAGGAACGTGTTCCTGGAGCTTAAGAGTGTCCTTTCGGTAGCCATTTTTCCCATCTTGTCATGCACATATTTTACCAAACATTAACTAATTTGGGTGTGCATGTTGAATAGGTTAGTAATGAAAAAGCAGGGATAAATTTACTTTTTTTGAAGAAGATGATCATTGTATACCCCTTTCATTTTTTTTCTTCATTTTATCAATTCAAATGTATTTTAAATATATTCCTCACAATTCAGCAATTTCAGTCAAATTCACCCTGATCTAATGAGCTCTTCTTCTCATTATTGTTACCATATATTTTTTGCACTATCATATTATATAGTGGATGAAAGAGCCCCGATGCCGTACTTGCAACTTGTAACAATGTAAGGTGTTTTAAACAAACAACAACATTACCCCTGTGCCACAAAGGCTTCCACCTACGGTGGGGTAAGGGGGTCGGATGTACGCAGCCATAATGTTTCCGGATGACCTATGATGAAAATTGTGTCGAAAATTGAATGGACTGATGAGAAGTGCACTCAGTTTAGTGATCCATTTGCTTTATTCCATCATATTCCCAAGTCAAAATATTGTCAGTCTTTGCCTCCAATGGAAATGTAAGGTGTTTTTAAGATATATAAAATTTATATACAATTGTGCCTGATGCTAAAGGGGCTGCCATTTTGGACGAGAGTCAACTAGAATCGCTAAACGGAAAGCATCCACAGCTACAAGCTACATTTCCTGATGGTATTGAGGTGATTTAAACTTTTCGATACCGCTACATTCAATGAGAAATGATTGTAGTTTACTGGATTTAGAATATTTACTTCTCTTACTATTTAACCCTTTAAATATTAATGGAATGTTCTTTTACTTTTCTCTTACGGAATACTATTTTACCTTACCTTTTTGTGCATGACTCCCCTTTCCCAACAAAGATAGTCTACAACTTTATGTATACAATTTAAGAACAAATAGTTAGTATAGTAAAAATGTTAATGCATTTTGCATATAAAAGCTATGTTCACATTATTTTTTTGGGAGAAAACTATCAATTTTGTCATTGTAATATCACAAAAACGTCAATCAAGTCCTCGTACTTTTGAAAAATCAATCGAATCCCCAAATATTGAAAAAACGTTTAAATGAGTCCATTAGCAGGTTACCCCCACCACGTAGTTACTTGGATACATGGCACACACGTGGAAGCTAGCTAGCAATTTGCCAATGACGTGGCGCACATGTGGATTGCCACGTGTGAGGCGGTCAGCGGGTGACTTACTAACATGGTAGGTAACATGCTAATTGACTCAATTGAACGTTTTTCAAAGTTCGGGGATTTGATTGATTATTTGTTAAAGTATGAGGAGTGAGGATCTAATTGACATTTTTGTGATAGTACGAAGACCAAATTGACAATTTTCTCTTTTCTTATCAAATAATGGTTTTGGATAATATCAGGAAATATTAATTAGGGGACATAAGAAAGAAAGTACTTTTTGGTAATACACATGGAACCATCTTATGGAATGCCTTAAAATTTGACGGAGCACTTGTCTATGTTTTCATGCCAGGCACTAATAACAGAAGTATGTGATAGCAAAGAAATTGCAGAGTTGAGACTTAAGGTAACAATTTCTAATATTGCCTCATTTTGGTATGCCTCCTATCTTATCAAGTCTAACTGAGAACGTTCTGAAGGTGTAGAATGTTAAATTTTCTCAGAGGATTTTTGTAAGAGGTTCAATAAGTTTTACAGAACAGGGCCCCCAATTTATGGGGCCCCATTTTTTGAAAATTTATTAGTTTTATATAGTAATATCATATAATAATACTAATCAATAAAATACAGTGACTAAGGAAGAAAAGTGCTGATCCATCAGTTTTTTTGTCTGTCATTTTAATTCTGTTTTACTCAAATTGCTTGAGTAATGAGTTTTGTTGCTTTAAACAAGTATTTAATTAACTTTTAGATTTTTTTAGTTACATTATTTAATGAGTATTTAATTGATTTGAGTACAAGTATTTAGATTGAGATTTTTTTAAATTGTTTATATTAATGTGGGACCTTGATTTTACATTTGGAACCGGGGCCTTCAAATTCATTAGACAGCTCCGAAATTTAGTTGTGAACACGGACATATTGTACGACAGCTGATTATGTTTTTGCACACTGCTAGCAAAAAAGAATGACTTTCAAGTGTTTATGCATTGTGCATTGGAAATGTGTCCTCAATGTATCTTATTGTAGCTGAAACTACAGAGTAGACTAAAAAACCCTTGAGCATCAATATGAACCTGAATTTTACTTGGGTGGCCACGAGCATATTCTTTGGCTATTTGCTAGGGAATTTTATGTATATCCATGTGTATGTAATATATATGTATACAAAAGGGCTTGTGTTGCATTTCCTAAATAAGGTGGTGGCTAGTTCGAATGAACAAAAGTTCTCTGAGGTCACTAGTTCGAATCTCCCCGGAGGACCACTGGAGGTTTACCTGTTTGTTAACTTTAGGGACCATGGGATTATTTGTACCAAAAACTCGTATGGACATCCGCGTCATAAAGAAGAGATTATGAGGTTCCAAATTGTAATGAGAAGCTTTCAAGTGTTCTACAAAGGGCTTTACAATTTATAAAATTACCTTGGGAAATATGATTACCTCCTGTACGATTATATGAGGTTATAAAATTGCAAGGAAATGTAAGATTACCTCAATGGGGAGTTTAGTTCAAGGAATGTGAGTTTACATGCCTCGTTAATTTTTTAGGGACAAAGCTGAAATAGTCTACCATATATCATAAACAATCTTATAATATCTAAGAAATCCAAGATAATCAGATTATCCCATCATTACCTTATTTTCCTTCAACAAGGTCAGGTAAATATCTATGTTTCCTGGCACAGGAGGACTGTAGGTTATTTTGACATTATCTAAACCAAATGCTTCCTAATAGCGACAAGAACATAGGCAATCTTTAGTAAAAAAAATTGGTTTTAGTTGCTCTTATGATGTCACTGGCTATCAACCAATGTTAAATGGGTCCCTAATATGTGGTAGCATGCACCCAGGTTACCTTTTAGCAAGGTTTGTTGTAAAATATGCTTATCGAATGTTTCTTCATGTTTGGTATAGGCTGGGGGATTTGAAATGCACCTGAAGAGGAAGGTTGAGGGTGCTACAGTTCTTACTCCAGTTTTCACTCCCTCACCACCAACTACTCAAAGTGAACCCGTGACTGACTCATTGGTTACTGCTTCTTCAGTGCCAAATCCCTCTGGAAAGAGTAGCCCATTTGTAAATATCTCTGCAGAGAAGTCTGCAAAGTTAGCAGAAGTAGATGCTTTTGAAACTAGTGGCCATGTCCTAATATCATCAAACACTGTATGCATCACTCATGATCCTATCTATGATACTTACTCTGAATTTTACCATGTCATTCACTACCGTTACTCTCCTCTCTCCCATAAGAGTCTTGGTTTGAAAGCCCCCCATAAAGGAGTTGTGTTCAATGAGATAAAAACTTTTTTAGAATAAAATTTCCAAAGTGGAGCGGCAAACAAGTTTAATATGAAAACTTTTGATAAAGTAGCTAAAAAGATTTTCAAATGTTATTAACTTATTACGGAGTATAATTTATTACTTATAGTAGCGGTATCTTGTCAAAAAAAAACTGCGCATTGGTCAATTATATTTTTTTGGGCTGAAGGGAGTAAGTTTCTCAAAATATTTCCTGGACAGGTCTGCACATTTCAATGAGTTAAACGCTCTGTATGGTGTATCATTATTTAATATATTTTCCCTGAATTTATTTCTCTATTCGTGATAGGTTGGTGTATTTCGAAGGTCTAAAAATGAAAAGGACACACCTGCTTGCAAGGAGGTAACAGTCATGAACTTCTCATCGTAAAAACTATATGTGCGCGTTAAAACCATACACAAACTTCATGGCAAAGCATGTTTCACTTCTATGAGTGAAAATCAAGTATCTGCATTTAACATATGCATTTACGCTTTGGCAAGAATGGATTATAGGGACTTCCATTTCAATTTTGGTTTTAGTGTTTAACACCTGATTTGGTCCTTCAGCTAAGCAATAGTGCAATATTATTCAATTTGATCCTCAAACTTTTTGGGGGGCTCATGTCGGTTTCTACAGTTATATGAAATGACGCAATTCAGTCGCCTCACATATTAGGTTTTACTCCCTCCGTCCTGCTAAGATTGTCCCATCTTTCCTTTTTAGTCTGTCCCACAAAGATTGTCCCATACCAAATTTGGTAATGTTTGTGTGGTTCTAAATCATTCTTACTTTATTTTTACTTTATCAATTCCATATCAACCATATAAACCCACTTTTCTTAATAACCGTGGCACCCTCTCATGCCCATGGGCGGATCTAGGGTGGGTAAACCTAGGCTCTGGCCCAGCCCAAATTTTAAAACGCCTTAATTTTTAAGGTAAAAATTTCCGTGTAATTTTTTCCAAAAATTATTCTTTGTACTGGCCCTGCTCAAGTCTCAATGTTAGTGGGACGAATACATTAAATAATAATGATTTTTTTTGCCAGTGCACTAAATTTAGAACCAATTTTGGACTCAATTTGACACTTTACTATCTAATTTGGATCCAATTTAGTATCTAATACAAAAATAACCTTTCTAATTAAAGCAACACATACATGAGGACCAAAGTGATTCTAAATTGCATTATCTAGAAGTCTAGAACCAAACTGAGTTTAAAAAAAAGTTGAGGACAAAAGTGGGTAATAGTATATAGTTGAGAGACCAATACATATTTAACTCTTCATCAATTGTATGGCCAAGAACCCACTCTTTCATTGCGCATTTAGTACCTCAATTATTTCGCATATTTAAATTTGGTCTCCATCTTTTAATTTTTTGCAAATGTCATACTCTAAATGTGTAACAATTTGTAAATATAGTGTCTGCTGTTAATAAGTTACATAAATTGTGTTCCTTGTTCTTAAAGTATTAACGACATGAGCTATATTTACAACATGGTACAAATTTGAGGGACAGTATTTGGAACATGTTGCACAATTGAGGGGCATAAAAACAAAAGACATTAGAAGTATGAAATTTAAGGATGAAATTTAGAAAAAACAAAATACATGCTCTACATTTCAATGTGTGATAAATGAGAGACTATAGAAGTTCTATTCTTCCTTATAAGTCGGTGTATTGGCTTTGTTAACATACACACCGACACATAGTTGATATATAATACTTGGTATCATACAATATTCACTGCCAAACTCATATGTGTGTCATTTACTTCAATGCATGTATTGCATAAAACCGCTTCTCAAATCTGCAGGGTGATGTTATAAGAAAAGGGCAACGTATTGGCTTTGTTGATCAGTTTGACTGTATACATCCTGTCATTGTGAGTTTAGTAGTTGACTTTTATATACTGTGTATCGACTTTATACATTTGGTTATTTCTGATACACTTATTTGTCAATTAATATGTTCCTGGGCAGGCAAATGTTGGTGGAAAGGTCGCAAAGTTCCTCTATGATGATGGAGGTATGTCTATTATTTTAGTCATTATGGAAGAAGTTTTTATTAAGGAAAGACCAATTCCTATTGTTCAAATTTATTTAGTTTTTATTTTTGTTTTTGTTTTTGGACATGCCGAATCTGCTGGATTTGCGAAAGCAAGTATATATAAAAAAGTGTTAAATAGGTCCACGTACTATGACAAAAAGTCAATTAGGCTCTCCTACAGTAGTCCTACTTGCAATTCCCTCAATCAACCCTCAAACCATAGAAAACACTGAATTCGTTTTTTCAGCCGGTAAACCACTGGTTAATACGTTAATTTGCATACGTGGGGATCCACAGGCTAATTTTACACTTTTTCGTTTTCGTTTTCTTTCGTTTTTTCTTCTCCCCCTTTTCCATTCTTCTTCTGCCCCAAGCCCCCAACCCCGCAGCATCCTTTTCATTTTCTTTTTTCTCCTTTTCCTACTTTGGTCTTACATCACAGCCACCCCAAAGCTGCTGGCCATTTCTTCCCCTGCGGAACTTCAGCGAGTACAGAGGATCAGAGGAGGCCCTGCAAGCGACAGCGTGGATGAAGGATGCTATCACAGATCTTATTCTCTAATGCGAGGCACGCCGGTGACAATGTGCACGGCTGCCTCTTTTTCTGCTTCTCCATTTTTCTACTTTGCTCTCGGTTTTCTGCTGCTGCAAAAATGGTCAATGCCGGTGTAGTGGCTGCTGTGTAATCGCTGGAAAAACGGAGGGATGGTTTCTCCAAAGTGGCTGTAGGTCTTGGGTCATCTTCTTTTGGAGATTGTCGAAGTGCTCCATCAAATCCGCAAGTTTTCTGGAGAGAATTCAAACTCATCTCATAGAAGGGTTAATGCAAATATACTACGCAATAAAAAATAAAAAAGAGAAGGAATAAATTTATCCTGATCTTATATGTGTGTGTATATATATATATGGTGCGGTTCTGGTGAGAACACTTCTTAACGTGAGAAATGAGAACGCTCCAAAACGACTCACTTTATCATTCACGAAAATTGCATCACGAAAATCCAACGCTCCAGAATCATTCTCATTTCTCACGTTAAGAAGTATTCTCATTTGATCCTTACTCTCTCTCTATATATACATATAGAGTGGTCTTCTTGTTAGGCCGGCCTGACAGGATGCTCCGTCCGGCCGAGCCCGTTTGGGCACCTTTCTGGTGGATTTTTTTGATGAAATTTTTTGAGCATGTTCCTCATCAAGTCTAGTTTGTCCATACCAAAATTCAGCTCAAAATTCGATCGGGAAGGCATTCAAATCATTTTTTGAAGTTGACTGCGTCAAAGTATACATATAAAACTGCAGTCAATTTCAAAAAATGATTTGAATGCCTTCCCGATTGAATTTTGAGCTGAAATTTGGTATGGACAAACTAGACTTGATGAGGAACATGCTCAAAAAATTTCATCAAACAATTCTACCGAGAAGGTGCCCAAACGGGCTCGGCCGGACGGAGCATCCCGTCAGACCGCCCTTACGGGAACCGCCGTCAGGCCGAGGCCATCAGAGGCCCTTCCAGGTGGATTTTTGTGATGCAATTTTTTGTGCATGTTCCTCGTCAAGTGTAGTTTGTTCATACCAAATTTCAGCTAAAAACTCAATCGGGAAGGCAGTTAAATAAATTCTCTACCAAAACTGCGTTGTTTATGTATATATAAAGTGTAGTTTTTGTAGATAATTTATTTGACTGCCTTCCCGATTGAATTTTTAACTGAAATTTGGTATGGATAAACTAGACTTGATGAGGAACATGCTCAAAAAATTTCATCAAAAAATTCCACCGGGAAGGGCCTCTGATGGCCTCGGCCGGACGGCGAATCCTGTCAGGCCGGCCTAGTACATCCATACCAAATTTCAGCATGAAATTCAATCGGGAAGACATTCAAACGATTTTTGGAAGAAAACTGTGTTTTATACGTATATAAAGGGTGCAGTTATCTTCCAAAAATCATTTGACTGCCTTCCCGATTGAATTTTTTGCTGAAATCTGGTATGGATGTACTAGACTTGATGAAGAACATGCTCAAAAAATTTCATCAAAAAATTCCACCGGGAAGGCCCTCAAAACGTGGAGGCCGCACGGAGGCTCTGGTAAGGTATACCTTACCGGAAGAGTTCCATATATATATATATATATATACATATATATATATAGGGTGAAGATCACATGCAAACCAGGCTTCCGGTGCAAACCACAAACTATTCACGTACGTCCAGATTAGCCAAATCGATGGTTGTGCATATAGCACACACCGTATGAGTTTGTAAGGTGAGATACATGGAATTAAATATGGTTGTACCACTACAACGTTCAGTTAATGGGAAAGGATACAAAAGTAAATTAACTTTATAAATAAAAGGAACGATCAATCTAAATCAGGAAATAAAATACAACACAATCTCATCATTTATGCTAATCTACCACTTCTATTGCAACCGTCAAAATAAAAGAAAATTAAATATGGAAGGTTGCATAGTTTCTCCATATAAGTTTAAACAAGGAAAATTGCATATTTTCTCCATGCATGGAATCCCACGTTTTGCATTAGTAAATTGAAAAATAACTTTCCCATTTTAAATATTAATAATTAATAATTAATTTTCAGTAATTAAATAAATAATTTGATTTTCGGAATTAATCACTTCCTAATTAACCTTTCATTTTTTAGCACTGCATAGTAGGGTTATGGAATGTGCATGATATATTAAGCTTGCGAGATGTGCATATTAAAGTTACTTTATGTGCATATTTAGGTTACCATATGTGCATTATATATTTATAATATCTCAATAATTCATATTAGAACTAAATTGTAATAAAATATGTCGATCTCGCGTTTAGGTAGTTCATATGTTGCATTTTATCATTATAATATATGCATTTTAGAAGTATGTATATTGCATTTCAGTAAGATGAGATAAGTACGTGATAAGTTCGCATTGCACCTTATCGCTATGGCATCTGCATTTTAGTGGTTCATATGTTGCATTTTATCATTATGACATCTATTTTAAAAGTTTAATTTGTATATTTCGTTTAAGAAAGATGATATGTGTTGTTTAGAAGTTCATACTGCATCTTATGGTTATGACATCTGCATTATATACTCAACTGACAAACATACTAATTTTTGGATAGGGTCATTTTACACGTCCGTATATTGCATCTAGTAAACCAATATGTGCACTTTAGAAGTTTATATTGCATCTTACCGCTTTGTCATCTGCATTTTAGTAGTTCATATGATGCATTTTATCATTGTGCCATGTGCATTCATGAGTTCATATATTGCATTTTAGTAAGATTATATGTGCATTTTAGAAAATCATATTGCATCTTATTGCTATGGCATCTGCTTTGTATACTCAATAGACATGCATACTAAATTCATGAGGTCACAAAATGCATAATGTTTCTGGCACATTAAGGTATAAATATTTAAACATCTTTTTTGCGTAAATACGAAATTGATGAATTTCATGATGATGAAAAGTCAAAACGTTAAATATGATAAATCTCATAATGGAAACATATGTTTCTTTCTGGCGTGAACAATGGATTCAAATAACTGCTCAAAAACAATGGATTCAAATAAAAAAAAAGTCAAAATCTGATGAATCTCATGGAAAATTAAAAAAACCAACATGCAAGATTTCATGGAGAAGGAGATAAAGATGAAGATGGAGATAGAGTTACAACCAAAGCAGAGAACAATTACTTATGTTGTAGAGAAGTTCTCTATTAATAGCGGCTATAAACTGAAAAACCAGAGCAATTAATATCATGAGCGATGAAGAAAATTTTGGAGATGGAATGGACTGGTGTAGGAATGGAGATGGATATAAAGATGGAGGTGAAGATAGAAATAGAGATGAAGATGGAGACGGTGTGTGTTTGTGGCGATGGATGTCGATGAATGAACGTGGATGGAAATTGGTTAGGGAAATTAGGGAATATGATTTTTTCCAAAAATAAAAACAAACCAAAAAGACTACTTAGCCCATCAATTGCATGATCAACCGTGAGGTAATCTAATTAAGATGGAGGGTCATGATTAGTTTGTAGTTTGTATATTAAGAAGGGTTTGTATTTGATCTCTATTCTATATATATATATATATATATATATATATATATATATATATATATATATATATATATATATATATAGGGGATGGTTCAAATAAAAAGTAGCCTTCCCGTGCAAAGTGCAAAATTTGCACTTTTTCATGTTTCGCTTGCACGTTTTCTTGTTTTCGTTGCACGTTTTCTTGTGCATTTAAAGCTAAAGCGCCTCTTATACGAATATAAAATACACACACACATTTTGAACTTTACGTGAGTGAAAACCTCTTTTTTTGCAATTCTATAAGAATAAATTTAGAGTGAGATTATATATTGTCTATAAAAAGTTAAAGTTTAAAAGTTGTGTACTTTGGTTCATTCTTTCTTATAACATTTTTTTGATGGTATAACTTAAAAGATTTCCTAGACAACAATATGTGTGTGTATATATATTCCTAATTTATAACTTTTGTGTTTAGTTTGAAATAATTTTATTAATATATAGTCCCCTGTCCCATTGGACTATGCCAACTTTCTTTTTTTAGTTGTCCCAAAAAACTTTGCCACTTCCATTTAAATCAATGAATTTGTGGTTCTGTTCATTTTTCTCTCCTCTAGACAAACCTCAACTACACAGTTTTTACTATTCTAATTTCCCACCCGACATCAACTTGACAAAGTTGAGTCGGGTGGAGGTCATACATTTTACGATGTACAATTAAGATGAATATTTATTTATTATCTCAACATAAAAACTTTAGGATATAAAAACAAAAGTTATTACTCCTAATAAGCAGTAAAAACATATCATATCACACAACAAACTACAAACCATACACATAAAAAAGTAATAGATCAATATAGTTATAGTTGTATTACTATAGGGAATGAAAGTGAAAATGAATATTGTAAATTTAACTAAATCACAAATATAATAACTAACATCTTAAATAAAACATTCTTGATAATTGTAACTCAGAACATTAATTTTCTAATACTAGAAAATCAAACACTAACAGTTAACAAAACAACATCGTTTGGTTTTGGCTTTTTGCAGTTTGGTTTAGTGTGGTTGCGGTCTGATTTATTTTAGTTTGATTTTTGGTTTTTCATATCAGCCATAGTTATTATCTGTATTATTTCAAAACTTTTTATCAAGCTTACAGTCGTACTTGTGTTAACATTTTTTCTGATTCTTCAATGATTACTTGTACATGCAGAAGCTATTGGCTATGGAGATGCACTTGTTGCTGTTCTTCCATAATTTTCTTTTCCGGAAATACTTGTTCTTGTGGTTCTCATATATGGCGGTATAGAAGCCACTATTTGAAATTTCAGTGCACACAATTTTAATTTGGTACTCGAGCGGCATATAGAGATCGACAATGCTGTTTTATTTGTGATCGTGTATGAGTTTAGTTTACCCAACATAAGTAAATTATCTAGAAATTGAATTGGCAGTGACTCATTGTTATAGATATGGTAATATTATGATCTATTTTAGTCTATATGATGGTATCCATGTTCTCTATTAGAGCATCTCCAATGCTAAAACGTGAACGGTGCATACGTGGCATGAGAAATAGTCAATTAAAAAAAATAAAAAATAGAATATTTCTCTTCTTATTTGAAGGATCTTGTATCATTTTGATAAGTTTATCTTCACAATTTCAAGCACAATGTTTAGATGTAGCCATTGTGTTTGACATTGCAGGGGAAAACTTACCAAAAATACATAAAACCGTGGAAAGAATGAGAGAGAAATGTCATAAATTCAATTTTTGTGTCTATCTCTCTCATGCCACATGTGCACTGTGCACATTGTAGCATTGGAGATGATCTTAGAACTGTCAATATTGGGTGTCTCCGTGTCTGGCTTCTCACCCAGAGGAATGGACCAAGACTAAAAATTTCAGGCCCAATATTGGCCCGGGCCGGGCCTAAACAGTGTCGGGTCGGGACGGGACTGTGCAATAAATTAAAAAAGACAATGCAATTGAACTCAGGAATGGCTGGGTCGGGCCTAAAAAAATGAGTCCGAAGCCTGCCCTTGTAGCCACCGGGCCTTGATCGGGCTCGACTTAGTTCGGGCCGACCCGTCCTAGTTCGTCCCTACTCACCCGTGCGATGAATGGAACAAAACTAAGTATGATATATGCAGTATATATGAATATAGAATATGAGGGATGTGGTATTATATATGGCTAACTACAATCCAGTTCCGTTAATAAATCAAATTTCTCACTATTTTATATGTATCCACTCAGTTAATTCAATTTTTCTTGCAATTCAGCATTGTCAATATATTCACCTAGTAAAGTTTTTTCTTAATTAAAGCTTTACTTTTATCATTTTGCATCAATTTATTTTAAATCTTTTTTGTAAATTATTATGATTTAAAAAGTCAAACATTTCGATGTAAAAATAAAAAATTTGGAGTTTATTTTTTTTATTATTTCTTTAGACCTATTGAAAAAAGTAAAAATTGAAATATGTAAAAAAAAATAACTAATTTAAACACTTGAATCTATTTAAGAAAATTTTGGGTTTAAAAATCTCCAACATATTTTGTTTTAATGTTTTTTATTTAAATTATATATATGATATTGGTGTAATATGAAAGATTATTAAAAGTTATGAATTTTGGCATGTTTTATGAAAATATTGGAATATAAATAAACAAGTTATGAGAGTTTAAAGATAATTGGGGTTTATATTATCATGGGACCCAACTTTTTTTTTTTGAAAATTGGACCCAACTTTTTTTGGAATATAAATAAACAAGTTGTGAGAGTTTAAAGATAATTGGGGTTTATATTTATCATGGGACCCAACTATTTTCTTTCCCTATACTATACCCACTTTGTTACCTCCGCTTACAATGGGTTGGAGATAGTGGCGGAGCCAGAAGTTCGTGTCAGTGGTGTCAATTTAGCAAAACAATATTATATAATAATGTGTACATATATAAAGCAAAAAAGCAAATATTGTCATTGGTAAAATTAAAGTACTAATTCACAACTGTCCACGACGCGTTTTCATATTTTAAAAACGTTGTACAATTTTTTCTTTGTCAATACTTTTGAATATATCTTATTCAATAAAAGTAACTAAGGCATCATTCATCATAGCATCCCTCATTCGATTGCGCAACCTGTTCTTCATGAACTTTATGGCCGAGAAAGCTCTTTCCACAGTTGCGGTGGCCACCGGTAAAAGCAACGCTAATTTCACAAGTAAAAAAACTAAAGGATACACAATATGTTTCTTTGTCTCCACCAATTTTTGAGCAAGAGAACAGACTTCTGTAATATCTATAAATGCAGAGTTAGAGCGCACATCAAGAATAAAAGTTTCAAGTTGACTGTCAAGAGCAAGAACATCTATCATTGAAAAGTCAAAAGGATATAATCGCGCCATGCGAATCAACTTGTCCTTGTCGAAAGATGAAAAAGTGTCTTTAGGACTAAGGCAAGTCACACAAAGAAGCAATTCTGTAGAAATCTTTGTGAATCGATTGTTCAACTCCTCGCGTTGTCTATCCACCACAACATAGAACAAGTCCACTTTGTAACGATGTAAGTTTGTGATTTGAATAACTTTGCGACGGACTCTCCCATGAGGTACATAAAAATCATTCATACTTGGAATTGAAATTTTATTCTTTTCACAAAAAGAAGAAACTTCACCAAAGAGAATATCCCATTGGGCACAGACTGCGACTGAGGGTTTCCGATTTCAGCGATTTGGGAATTGGCACTGCGACTTACGGCGTTCAATAGTTTTTTTTTTGCAGCGGGAGTTGGAGTTCAATCAGCGATTTGGGCACAGACTTTTCAATTCTCCTTTGCTGACTTCTCAATTTGGTGTTCCAACTTTTAAAATTTTTAAATTGACCCCCATTTTTTAAAATGTTGGATGGTGTCAATTTATAATTTATGAAAAATTATCTATACCTATATAGAGAATTTTTATTTTTCAGTTATGTCAATTTTAAATTTTAATTTTTTATATACCTACATATGGGAAAAAAATCCAGTGGTCAATTGACACCGGTGGCTCCGCCACTGGTTGGAGAGGTTTTTGCAGTTAGCCTAATAGAGGTTACTACGTATAATATAAGAAGTGCTTCAACCAAATAGTACCTGTACTAAAACAATAATTTTCAATTATTTTAATTCTCTATAATTGAAGAAATATTATAAAGAAAAATTTGACACTAACACAACACAACAACAACATCCAAGCCTTAATTTCAAAAGATTTGGGGTCGATTAACATGAATTGATCTATGATATCGATGTCAAAAAGAGAAGATAATCTGTTGGGTTAAGGGCCCAAGCCGAAGTCCGGCCCACTAACCCATTTTGCCAGACGGGCGTCCAGTTAGAACACTAGGCCGGCCCACAGGCCCATGTCCCTTGAGGATGGACGAACGTCTGGGGTTGGGGGTTCAGGCCCAGCGGCTCCTCCCGACGAACGTCAATGTAGGGATAAGGAGCAGGGCCGCGGGCCACCAGGGATGACGACGAACGTCCCCATGACAAGCCTATAGTCATCGGAGGAGGCCCAGTCCACATGATGAGTATCTATCAAGACCAGGAGACGAACAGCCGGTATCTCCTGAGGGTCACTTGGGGGGATCCAACTCACTTCCCGGGTGGACGAACGTCCCCACGGATTAAGCGGGAAGCCTAGATTCTGGCGGGAAGTGCATTTAATGCTGAAGATTTGGTAGTTGGGGCACCAGCGGTCCACAGGCTGCCACGTCAGCACAGCCACCTGCCCATTGGCGGGTATAAATAGAAGCATTTATTTCATTGTAAAGGGTTGGCAACTTTCTATTCTTAGCATACTAGCTTCAGCGTTCTTACTTGTAGCATTTCTAACTGCCTTGTAAGACGAACGGCCGACGTGCCTTTTTAGCAAGTAGGTTGTACTTAGGGGAGTTATTACGAAGTTAATAATACCTATTTACATTGCCTGCTATTTCTCTTGTTTCCTGATCCATCCGAAAGTTGTTGGGCTAGATATCCATACACTCACTCCACTCGAAATCTTTGGGCTTACGTGTTGGGTCCAAGGGTTGAAGGAATTAACCTCAACACTGGCGCCGTCTGTGGGAAGCTGAGCAAAAAGTTTCCAGAAACTCTCCCAAACAGCTACTAAATCTACCTACAGCAAACACGATGTCAGGAAGCAACAACCAGCGTGATCTCTCCGAACGTCTGGAGTCAAGCCGCCGGAATCGCGGCCAGAACTCGGAACTGTCCGCAACAATATGGACCTCCGGGGGAAACGGGGGTATCACTGACCTCATTCCCCTTGAGGCCAGGCAGGATCCCCGCCTCATGCGTGAACTCGCTGACACCATGCGTCGTTTGGCAGACGAACGGGAGGCCCGAGAGCAGGTGTACTCAGCAAGCACCCAGCGAACGCCCCTCTCTCCCATTCGCCGCATGCAGTCGTATGACGATACGACGGGATCCAGCGACCACCGGCCCTCAGTCCATGAGCGGCTAGGCGGGGGTTCAGGCTCCCGTGGAACGGGAGGGCGAACCAGGGCCAGCATTGCTGCATCCAGGGCTCACACGCCATCGGTCCCCCGCCAAATCCCGCGGGGAGACGAAACCCCAAGGATCAACACCGTTGGACGACGTTTCCAACGGCGAGGTGCGCAGATCTTTAGGCGGCCGCACGATGCTGCGGCCGCTCAGCAGAAGGCCGACCCCGAAGCCGCGCCCCCTGTGTCCCCCGGAAGGGCCGCACAGGATGCAAGGCTGGAAGCAATGGAAAGGCAGATAGCCGAGATGAATAGATGGACGGACGTCGACTCGGCCACACCCTCTTTCTCTCTCACATCACCCTTTACTCCATGGGTGATGAGCGTCGAGATTCCCCGGGACTGCAGGCCCCCGGGTAACTTGGTGTATAATGGGACTGGCGATCCTAAGGCCCATCTGATAAGCTACCAAGGGAACCTGTCCATGCTGGGAGCATCAGACGAGGCCATCTGCAGATTGTTCTTCAGCACCCTCAGGGGGCCGGTGCAAGAATGGTTCGGCCAGTTGAGGCCGGGCACCATCGACTCATATGAACAGCTCTCCCGGCAGTTCATGGCGCAGTTTGCTGCCAGTACCACCCCCAGGAAGGACGTCACGGCTCTCGCCCACATCAAACAAGGGCGGGACGAACCGCTGGCTAGGTTCCTGGTAAGGTGGAGGGACGAGGTCCTGCAGGTCGACGATCTGGACGAACGTCTGGCCACCAACATGTTCACCAGTGCGCTGGCCACAGGGGATCTATACCGGGACCTAAGGAGGAATCCCGGCACCAGCTACACCGAGGTTCTGGCTCGGGCCCAGAAGTATGCCTCCATTGAGGAGGAGATCAGGCAGCGGGACGGAGTTTCCGCGGCCCAGCCACGGAAGATGGCGGACAGGCTCGGACCCAGACCAGGACCCGGGCCCTCCCCCCCAAACAAAAAGAAGAAGGTGGACGGAGCAATGGTCCCTTGGAAGGCTCCGTCCGGAGACAGTCAAACGCGGCCGGACGACCGCTATATCCCTTTGG